GGAAACAACCTAGATGTCCATCAACAGAGGACTGGAATGAAGAAGATGTGGTGTATTTATACAATGGAATACTATTCAGCCATAAAACCTGACAATATAATGCCATTTGCAGCAACATGGATGTTCCTGAGAATGTCATTCTAAGTGAAGTAAGCCAGAAAGAGAAAGAAAAATACCACATGAGATCGCACATATGTGGAATCTAAAAACAAACGAACAAAACAGAAACAGACTCACAGACATAGAATACAAACTTGTGGTTGCCAAGGGGGCAGGGGGTGAGAAAGGACAGACTGGGATTTCAAAATGTTGAATTGATAAACAAGATTATACTGTATAGCACAGGGAAATATATACAAGATTTTGTGGTAGCTCACAGTGAAAAATTAAAAATGTGACAATGAATATATGTATGTTCATGTATAACTGAAAAATTGTGCTTTACACTGGAATTTGACACAATATTGTAAAATGACTGTAACTCAATAAAAAACGTTAAAAAAAAAAAAAGACTGCTCTGCCTGGTGGGAAAGACAGGCCTTTTTGTGGTCAGAGCTTATAAGTAGAGCCAGCCCTCAGTAGGAGCCTCTGAAGGTGCTCTCAAGGTCATTAGCAGTTCGTCCAAAGCTGTCTATTGCAGGTGTCTCTAGGTCTGAGGAGTTTATGACCCACCACTTCTGTTTCTTCTTTCCCCGCAGGTACGTGTCCGACTTCACCAGCACTCTCCACTCGATACGGAAGAAGTGCAGGCTGGACGATATTCCTCCCAACTCCCTTTTCCAAGAAGATTGGACAGCTTTTCAGAACTCCATTAGGTAAAGTGGGGCTTATAATTAAGCGTGTGCCTAATGTACTAAGCATAAACATGCATAATATAATATATAAAAATGGTAAGTGTGGGTTTTTTTGAAGGGATTCTCTTTGTTTTTCTCTTTCACTGGCTTTTTTTTTTAAGCAAATACTTTAGACTCTGAAAACAAGCCAATAAACAAAAGACCAAACCAAACACCAAAAAAGACACCTCTTGCTCTTAAAATATTTTAAAAAGTCCTTTATGAACTCATTTCCTTCAGGGATGTAAATTTTTTATATTTGGTTTGAGATTTGTTTTTTCTTTTAGCCTGTATTTTTACAGACCTAAAATAAGTTAGAACTTTTATTTTAGAAAACCCACAGCTGATTGGATCCTATTTCTGTGGGCCACTAGGTAGACACTCTGTTGCCCTAAGCCCTGAGGTCTGGTGGGAGTGTCATTGGCAAGGGGCCTGAGGAGTTTGGTCCTGATGTGTCTAGCCAGAGAGTGCAGACTGCCGGCCTGTGGCCGGATCTGACCAACGACAGGTTTTGTTTGATCATAGCATTTAACAAAATCTGGATTAGTTGCCAACACGTAGAAGCCAGATTGATCATAACCCTGCTTTCCAACATCACGTAAAAATCAGAAGCTCTGGAAGCACTGGGCCCGTGTCCTCCCAAGGCCACGGTCCCTGGGGAGCGGGTGGCCGAAGCCCCCGGTTGACTAAGGGTGTGTTCTCTGTTGTGCCATGGTTCTTCCACTCCTGCGTGGTCTGACAAAAGTATACCATCGACCTGAGGTACAAAGCAGTCTGGAAGTTTCTTTTCCTTACAACCATTCTTCACCGGTATACATTCTGAAAAGGCTTCTTCCCCACTTGCAGTTCTTGCCTGACCCCTGGCCTGCGTGTTGCGTGCAGGGTGCCCGCCGCCCGTGTAGGTCTCAGTGCGGGGGCCCACGGCAGGGCAGGTCCAGGCCCTCCAAAGGTTGACTTTAATCAGCGTAAATCCAGGACCTCCTGGGGCTGTTTGGAGTATCTCCTCGTGGGCTCCGATCTGGGCTTTTATTTTTCTGCTGAAATCTAATGTTCTAGATGCTAATACCCCTTATCAGCTGTGGTGGCTTAGTATACCAGAAAATATTATGCACCAGGTTGCTCTGTTACACCCGAGGTGAGTGGAATATTTCACTTTCTCATAAACCTTTCTTATGATGGAATGCCTAGATACCCTGGTGATGCTAGGCACTTTTAGAGAAAGTTAAAAGTTAACTAGACCTAAGATGTTTTTAATCCTTGGATTTGTCCTGACATTACAGTTTGGTGTTGAAGGACTCAGTAGCTGGAGTTTGAGGTCAGCATAAAATTTCTTGAAAATTAAAGGATTATTAAATTCAGAAATGTTGATCATTCAGGCTTATCTCTGAGAAACAAAATGGATTAATCTTCATCTGCCTTTAAAGTGACCAGAGAGAAATGCTAATTCTAATATCAAAACAGGTTTCCTTTGTATGCCTGGCAAATAGCAGGCTCTCACAAATGTTAAGTAATGAATTTTCGTTTTTCAAATTTTAGATACAAAGTATTTCCAACTCATTTTCTTATGGGCAAAGCCCAAAAGCAGCCTCAGGATTTTTGGAAATGTAAAACTACGTGAGATCATTTCGTGTAGAGTTGTGGTTCATAGCAGAGAGGCCCGTGACAGGACAGTATTGGAAGGCACCAGCATTCACCTTTTCCAGGAATTACTAATTAATGAAACATTTTAGGCAGGCCATCAAATGGTTAAACTGCTTTCCAGAACCCAGCACTCCAGCAAAAGGGGTGAATAGTTAGAATTTTTATGAATGAGACAATGTTTGTCCTGTAAAGTCGGCATTCCAGATACTTGAACTTGAAGTGCTTTTCGTTTTGTTCAGGATAATAGCCACCTGTGGAGAGCTCCTGCGGCAGTGCGGGGACTTTGAGCAGCAGCTGGCAAACAGGTAGGAGAGGACTGTGGGCGGGTCCCTGGCTCTTGGGGAAGAACGTGATAGGATACCCAGCATAGCCTGACACCACGACACTCGAGGATTCTCTGTACCTGGGATATGAGGTGTCAGTGTTGTCATCATTCAACATTTATCCAGCAGGGAGGGTACAGCTCAAGTGGTAGAGTGCGTGTTTAGCATGCACGAGGTCCTGGGTTCAATCCCCAGTACCTCCTTTAAAAATAAACCTAATTACTTCCTCCCTCTACAAAAAAAGAGAAAAAAATTTATCTGAGCACCTGAACAGAGCAAGGCTCTGATCTACTTGACAACAGACACATAATTGGTTAGATATGGAAGTTTGTCTCCAGGACAGGCTAGATTCCAGCTAGGTTCCCACTACATGTTTGTAAGTCAGTTATTGGGAGTCAGAATACATTTCCCCATAGAAATGGTGTTGTAAGTGGTGGTGAAGTCCCCTGGGCCAGCCCACAGAATCCAGATTATCCCAGCCAGCCTGCCTTCTGGGTTCTGCAGCAGAATTCTCTGCTACCCAAGGGGTGTGTGTCAAAGGATTTCTGGGACCAGGCCTAGGAAAAGTCCCTTCTGCGCCCTTTCTCTGTCCTGATCCCTACCTGAAGTAGGGAGCCCCATTCAGACCACTTCTCCCCTCAAAGGGCTTCAGCTTCCCACGTGTCCTTTCTTCCTTTAAGTGTAATAATCTCCCATTGCCTTGGTGCAGTGGACTTCTCCATTCTACAGGAGTTCAGGGGAAGAAGTCTGTTTGAGACGGTGGGGTGAGGGCCTAGCACCAGTCCCTTCTCCTCTTTCTTGGATCAGTCTTTGTTGTCCTAAAGTCGTCTCTGCAGGAGGGAATTTCTGGCCCTGGTACAAAGTGAAATGAAAGCTGAGGCCCCTGGTCCGGGTAGGAGGTAGGGCTGAGCTGCTGCGGCCGGAGGTCAGACTGGCTGCGGGGGTCAGAGCTCTGAGTTGGACGTTTCTTCTTCTCACCCTTTTTTGTCTTCCTTCATTTCTGAACCCACGGACTGCCTTCAATTCCCGAGATTTTTCACGATGGTTCCCATTAGGGGGAGGGTCTTGCCGCGGGGTAGAACGGGCAGCTGTTGCTCTTCGTAACAGAAATCATGTGACTTCTTGGAATGAATAAAACCAGAGCTCCACAGGCACACGGTGGAATGTGTGTAAATAATATCTTAGATGCCCCCTTCCTCCCTCCCTACTCCCACACACACATGCGTGCCCATGTTCACACACACGTGCATGCGTACACACGCATGCACGTACGCACGCATGCACTCACGCACACAGATGTGTGGTGAGAGGACCCTGTGGTGGAGGGGTGAGTAGGTCTGGGTTCACAAAGGGCCCCTAAGAAAGTCTGAGAATTTGACATTTACGTATTTGAAAGAAAGGCATGTAGCTTATTATTTTATTAATTACAGTAGTAATTACAGCCTGGGCCCAGCTCATTGCAAACATTAAAATTTGCAGGTGTACAAAGTAAAAACGGAAAGTCTACTCACCCTAAAAATTCTTCGGAAGAAACATTAACAGCACCCCCAACCCCCAGTCACATTTATTGAACCCTGACATTAAGGACTTTACATGACTTAACTCATTGGTACTCCCAGGGGGTCCAGAGAGGTAGATACTACCCTTACCCCCATTTTTACACATGAAGGGACCTTGAGGCACAGGTAATAACTTTTTAGGTAAAAGAAATTATTTGTGAAAATAGCTGTGTCTGAGGCAGTGCAACTGAGAGGCAGTGATTTGAACCTGGACGTCAGCGGAGGCATCCAGAGCACGTGTGTCACCCCCACATCATCCTTCCTCACAGATCAGTGTCTGTGCTCAGACTTGGGTTTCTCCGCTTAGGTATCAGATGTCTTTCCATAAGCAGAACATACAGACAGACTCGCCTTACTCCTTCAATGAAAATGAAAATTACACTCTAAGGGGAAAGGAAAGATCTGGTTGAGAAGATGACCGGTGACATGATAGATGCAGGCTGAGTCCCTCTACCTGCGTTTGCAGCCCAGAGAGGCTGAGAACCTGGCCTGAGCCTTGGCGTGAGATGAGAATAAATTGGGCGTAGCCAAGGAAGCTGTTTTAAGAGGTGGCGTCATTCTGGAAGCACTGTGTCTGGAAAGGGAAAAGACTTAATAGCCACCATCTGTGTTCCCATCAGGGAGCCCATGCGTGTGGCCGCTGCCTATAAAGCTTATCTTATCTCCCTGTCAATTTCACCTGTCGAACCCAGACCTCCACTAAGGACCACTCCCCTTGGGTCGCAGAGGCAACAGCTCGAAACACCGCAGATTACTTCAGCGACAAGAATGACATTGGCTACTGGGCTTTTAAGATCACCTGCCTGCTGACAGGGATCATTTTGTGATTTATGGGCTGAGTAAAGCAAGGTCAAGTTGGGTGTCACCCCAGGGACTTCTCTTGTTCTGGGCAAGTTGGGTGAGATACAGGGAGATTGCCGTGGCTCCTCTGTACTTTTATGGTGCCCATCACTGGCTTTGGGAATAGTGGTATTGCCACTAGGACAAAGTCTTAGGGGGCCAGTTCAGTGGGACAGTCAGATGTGGGGAATCCAAAATAAATGTATAAGTTTCCATGGCTGAGGAGTGGGCAACAGCTTTTCAAGAAAAGGAAGTGAGTCGAGGAAGTGGATGGTATTGTAATGTCAGGCCCTCCCTCTTCTGCGCGAACTTACTACGTTAATTAAAGACTCATTAATCCCATTAATCTCTGAGCTTCTTGAGGGCAAGCTCTGTGTTTAGTCATCTGGTATCCCCAAGACCTAGCTTGGAGCGCATTACAATGATGAGAAAATGTGTCTTAATGAATGAGGAAACCAAGTGTCCATTTCAGCATGGTTTAGTTCACAATGTTAGGAAATAAATATAGCAGGAAAGAAGATGTTAGTGATTAGATCATTGAACGGTGACTGTCTGGATGAAGAGGAGTCTGGGGGAAAATGTCATTAGTTCCTTGGGGTTGGAGCTATATATGTTCCAACATGTAAAAAGTAGTCAGATTTGGTTTTTATTGTAGAGCATACCACTCTGACATTTTAAACTGTAATCTTTAATACTCAGAACATTCCCAACAACTATTTTCTTCAACTGAAGACTGATGCCACTTTCCCCTGAGACTGAGGCACCCGTTGCAGTAACCCCGAGGAGGACAGCTGACTTCTCGGAGGGCGGAGACGAAAGCTTGGCTCTCACCTTCCTCCTCACCAAACCCAGGGTCCCCTCTTATTCAGAGAATAATTAAGAAGCACCTGCCACGTCTCAGGCACCGTGGTAGGTGCTAGGAATTCAGAGATGACGAGCTCTCTGTGTTTCAGCCTCACCATCTAGTGGCAGAGAAATGGGACAACATGTGATAAGTCTGTAAGAGAGGTGAGAGGCTGGTGAGATCCGAAGACTGAGTTCCTGGGGGGAAAGACTGGGCAGAGGGGGCGCCCCTGGGACTGGTGCTTGCAGAAGGATTAGGATTTTCCCAGGTGGACCAAGACGGGCATTTCAGATCAAGGGAACATGTGAACAAGGCCTGCAGGGCTAGGTGGGGATGGTTGGCGTGGTGGCAGGAATTTT